TTAAGCTTGAGTTCACATCAATCCAGGTCTGTCTTAGACTGGGTTCCAGCATTTTTAGATCAGTCTACGTGCATTGAACTTCTGTTCTGTTATGGTTTTAGACTGTTTTATGATCATATAGACTGGTAAAATGTAATATCTGTACCTGGCTCTAGTGAAGATCCAAGATGGAAGCAAACCAGATCCTTACAAATGAGCTCTATAACTTTTGGGAGACCTAACCCGAATTCAGTTTTGGAATAACATCCTAACTTCATAAACTGAGCCTTCTAGTATAGGGAAATGAACCAAAGCAGTAAAACCGAGCAAAATAGAACTTTTGTGAGGTTTAATTTTGGATTCATCTCATGAGTTTCGCTAATCTTGAATGCAAATTAATACTGTACAATATGTCAGGCCACAGTAAAAAAAACCAAAAACCCAAAAACCCCACCTTTGCATAAATGCATTCTTCTGAAAGGCTTAAAGCTACAGCTGGACAAATGGTGTAAATGCGGATTTGCAAATATCACTGAAAAGTGAGTTTGGTATGCTGATATTCACCCAGTTGTTAGTATTTATGAGTATTTGGATAACTGTTAGGCATCTCTAAACATGGTTCTAATTTTTAAGGCTTTACTAATTTAATAGTAAATATGAAATATCAAATAATTTAACTTTGCTATGAGGACCTTAATTTTTATGCTTCCCCTTTTTCATAATGCAGCACTCTGTTTGGGGACAAAAGGAATAGCTTTTTTGTTTTGAATATAAATAGCATTTTAGAGAAAAAGTCAGATGGTTTCTGGTGCTCTTGTTCTTTATAGATACATTTTATTCTGTATATTTTGCTTACGCTCTTGATAAGCCAAAATATTTTAAAAGACAGCACATTTTTTCTGCTACCAGAAAGATATCTCTGAAGGGCAGAACTCATCACCATGACACATTCCTGACTACTAAATCAAGACACTTAAAAATATTGACATGAACTAAAATCTAGAAATATGGACATCTGTCTACTGAACTGTGGTTTTCTCTTCAGCTTTTCTAAGGGAAGGTGACCTTACTGACATACTACTAGGATCCCTAACTTGTTGTTCTGACTCTGGTAAAAAGATGAACATAGTATTTTCAAGACCTGAGAGTCAGAGACTTTCTGGGTTTCAGATGGCTGATTTTTTTCTGTTCTTGGCAAAATATATTTAGAATCTGGGGATGGGGTATTAATGTACTAAAGACCTAGTCGTTTACATTTCCTCTTAAAACAAATTGGCAAGTTTGGTAAGCAATGTCCACTGATGCCTTCACAAAATGAACTGATATAGTCGGTATACACGATGAACGAGGAGAGACTGAATGCATTTTAGATTGAATAAGCATCGGGTTCTACGCTGCTCTTAGGGCCTTGTTATGCCTTACTCTGTGTTGCACAAATTTTGACTGGGGTTTGGAGTAGTCATGCTTCAGGGCTCCCCTCCCATTCTGGGCTTTTCCCTTGCCCCCTGCCCCTCAGGACTCCCCCAGTTCTCCCCTCTGCCAGCCCTGGGGTTCCCCCTATCCCTCAGGGTTCCCCTCTGCCTTCTGTTTCCCCCTTCACTTGGGGCATTGCTATCTTATGGCTACCTGTGCTGTCTGTCTTAGGGAAGCAGGCAGGGAAGGGTTAACCTGCCTGCTGGGCCACTGCTGCTGGGCTGCTGCTTTTCCTGGCTGCCTGCCATTGCTGGCCCAGACTCTGGACAGGCCCCTGTCACCTGCCATGGAGCCCAGGCTGCTCGTGGCAGGCAGCAGGGAGGCTGCAAGCAACTGCACCGGGAACCACAGAGTCTTTGTCTGTCTTGTTGCCAACAGCAAGTGCATACACACTTCTGGGTGGATGGCAGGGAGGGGGCTGGGGCTGCACTGCCACAATGAGTATTGCGCCTTTCCAGGTACCTGCCTTTGGCACTCTGACATCTTACAAGTTGAGGTTGCAGTTGTTTTTGGTACTCTGCCCAAAAACTTTGCTGACCCCTGCACTAAGGTGTAGCTTAAAACGGCTATGCTTTAGTGCGGAGGTGGGCAAAATGTGGCCCACCAGGCCATCCTATCTGCCCCATGGGGCCCTAAAAATTTTAGAAAATTAATATTTATCTGCCCCTGGCTGCCTGTTGATGCAGCCCTCGATGGCTTGCCAAAACTCAGCAAGTGGCCCTCTGCCCAAAATAATTGCCTGCTCCTACTTAGTGTAACATGAGCTGGGTAACACAGATCAGAGACAAACCTGCCATGTGAGTGGTGTAACTCTGAGCTACATAATGAGTGTTTAAAAACAGTTTTCGGTGTTAAGTGTGTGGACTATTCAGGAGCTAAGAGCTCCAGGAGCTGCCCAAAATTACCCTGTAATGAGGTCCTAAATCACAGAGCTTTGTCTCATTTTAAGCAAAACATTAATTCTCATTGACCTAATAAAGTAATTTCTTCCAATATAACTGCAATGCATGTATTTTCTTGAATTCCTTATTGATTAGTTCACTTCATACTGTCACGTTAAGTATCTTTCAGTACATTTCACAAGGCAACAAAAGATGCACATTGCTATTATTTTCCCTTTTCCATCCTAATCGATGTATTTCAGACAATGCTACTTCATTTTTTGATCAAGATTTAGGAAGTAGGTGATCTAAATTGTATCAAGGAAGACCTTAGGTGTTTATTCAAGATATTTATAATATTTTTATGGGGAATAATGGAAACCAAATAAAGGTAACAGGGATAAACTGCATTATGTTAAGGACTTTTATAATTTGTCTTATGGTCAATGACTGTTAGAACAACCTTCTAGTTTTAAAAGCAGAGTGATTAAACTTACTTTCATGCCAATTTTCACAGTAATACTCTAAATCGTTAGCATTTTAATGGAGGAACAGTTCTTTCAGAATCTCATTTATATTTTTAAATAGAGAATTATATCTGCAGTAAAACAAAATATATTAAGCAGGAGTTGGTGGCAAGATTGATTAAAGCAGTGGTTTTCAAACTTTTTCATGGAATGCATTACATTTTAATGCAGATGACAGGTCATGGATCATCTACGCTCTGCTTTACCATCCCATCTCATCAACTGTCCAAACAATTTCTCTCAGACAACTAAAACAATTATTTAATGGAACAGTATTATTAGCATGACAAGGTAGTTTCTAGTTTGGAGGAAATTATTGGATTTATTTTGCTGTCTACTGGTATATTTACTACTTAGCATATGTCAGAGGTACCAAAATCCTAATCAGACACACTTTTTCATGTCCAGCATTATTATTGCAAAAAACAACCCCAAACCACTATATACTTAAATGTATCCTTGAATAGCACCCAAAGCAACATACAGCTAATGCTGAATCTTGCATTTATTTTCTTTAGCAGCAGGAAACACTAAAACATATCAGAGGGTCCTGGCATTGTTTCCTGCGGTGGCTGCCTGTTTACTTACTGATACAGTTCAAGGTTCTGGTTATGATTTAGATGGCCCTAATAGGCGAGGGACCCAGTTGTCAGAGACTGCCTTTCCACCTATGTTTCATTGCAGCCTGCTAGACTTGTCTCCCCAGCCCTGGCAACTTTGGTATAATGCCCAGAATCTGGATGAAGCTCATTTTTCCAGGTCTACATTTATTATTTTAGCAGAAATTCTAAAGCAGCTTAAAACAGCCTGCATAGGAGCAGGAGCTAACTGGCTTTAGGTAGCTCTCCCTCCCATGAGTCCTCTTGATCCTCAGTTAGAATTACCTGACCTTGTCCCATTTTGTTATGACAATCCTCTCTACCAGACCCAAACAGGATGGATGACTTCAGGTTCTCCAATGCTGCCTGTCACCACTTATGGTAGCAATGATGCTCTATGCTACTATGGTTTCTATGGTTTCTTCAGATTAATTATACAAGCCTCCATCAGAGTCTTCTAAAGCAAACAGACCACAAATTTGTAGCTTGCTGATTTTTCAGGCAAAATTTTCTTTTCTTTTGGGAAATTAATAGAATAAGTAAAGATTTGTCTTGTGACAGTTGCCTGGAATCAACCAGTCCTTGCATTTCCTTTTAACTAGGGTCAGCTAAATGCCAAGGTAAAATATGCTATGTTTAAACACACAAAATAATTAAATAATTCTTTGACCATCTCAGCAACCATTTCTCATTTTCTTTGCTCACTCCCCATGGCTTGATGGCAATACTGTTTATGGGATGGAGTCTCCTTTCCTGTTCCCTTTGTCCAAAAGAGAGGGAGTTGGGAGCATAGGTGGCAGAGGCTTTATCCCTCAGTACCTCTCTTTAAAGGTTACAGGATTCTTCTTTTCTTGGAGAATAACCACATGAAACTGAGAGGCAGTTAGCCATGTTAGTCTGAAGTCAAGCAGAAAGCAAGGCAGATTTGCACATTTATAGATTAACTAAATTAGAAATGTATAGCATAAGCTATCATACAGTGGTAATTTCAATGAAAGAAGACTGATTAGAAAACAAAGAGAACTTGAAACAACAAAAATTGCATCTTTAATACTACAGAGATGCAAACACTTCTCCAACTAAACTGCTTATTCTCAGATTAGGCAAGAGAGAAAGGGTAAAAGAAGAAAAAGTAAAATTCAGTCCCTAACTGAACATTCTGGTCTGTACTGAGTATTATGTTATCTAGGCAGAAACAACACTATGCCAGATCCAGATAAACTTTTTACTCCAGTTTTCCCTGATCAAGGCCTGCTACTTCCCAAGCCAGATTTATCCAATTACTTACAAACACTGGCTCAGTGGCAAATAGGCCACTGAGGATACAAACCCTCTTGAGTGTTAATAAATAGCTATATTGCAAGTGGTTAATAACCTAGCTCAGAGATTACTTTTTTCAGACTACCCATGCTTCTCATTACAAACCCGTAGCATTTGTTTTTCTTTTGCCAAGCAATATGAATTATGTGCAAGTCTCCAGACCCCCTGTCACACTGTCATCTAAAAAAATAACACAGAATTAGTACATTCCATACAGTTACCTGTCATGTTGCAGTAAACTTTCAAAGGTCCCAGTGCCCCACTGCCATCTGGATCTATCCAGTACTGATTTGAGAGTTTGCCCAAGTGTTTGTATGCTTCACAGGAGAGTTCATAAAGAGCTGAAATAAAATAAGTACACTAAAATAAGAAACTTTAAGTCCAGCAGAAAATTAATGCAATCACCAATAACTTCATTTTAGGATCCACAGTAGTGATGTTATCCATTAGTTATGACACTTAAATTGATAAAAGGAACACTCTTTTCCAAGCTAAGGTAGTTATTAAAGTTGGCTAGAGAATCCTTGATGCAACAAACCATATCAATTTTTGAAAGAATACCAGAAGAGCGTTCCAATAATTTCAGCATATCCCATTTGGGGATTTTTGAATGAAACATTTCAATTTGCTTTGAAACTATTTTTGATAAAGGATTTTGTTTATTCAACATAATATAAAATAAAAGAACTGATTATAAAAATAAAAGAACTAAAATGAACAATTTCTGTTGAGAAAAAAGCCTTCCAAAGTCTTCCAAAGCCTATCTTCAGATAATTTTGAATTTCAAATTCTCGAAATCCATCATTCATGTAATTTCTATCCTCTGCATACCTTTGCTGGTAAATTTTCCAGTAATCCTAGAGAATTTAAACATTGAAAATTCTTTCATAGATTTAAATTGCATAGGGTCAAGCATTTAGGGTTAAAATTATGGAGTTGCTGCCATTAAAAAGTGCAGAATTAACACCACTTGTCAGTTGATGTTATACAGAATATCACAGGTACCCAAATATAATGGTGACTGCTGCAGTTCTTGTAGTAGTGAATACATTTTCTTCTGAAACTCCTGGAAGTGTCTTTGCTGGGTGTGTGTGTGTGTGCGCACATGTGCGTGCACACACATACACTAACCCACAGACATATACATTCCATTCTAGATGTTGAACTAGAAGAGTTGCATATTGTTTCCAAAGTAAATAAGTAAATGGATCATTTTCCTGAATAGTTTTTGTAACAAAAATGAACAAATTATTTTTGGTAATATCTACATTATCTATGTTACTCCAGAACCAGATGGTGCAGCTTTCTTGTTTGGAGTCAATCAATCAACTGCTAAACAAATGAAATGTTTGTTTAACCAGATTTCATATCCACTCTAAAAACCCATCTAATTTGTTGGCAAGTCCTACAAATGATCTCCTTGCTATGACTGGCTTTATTTCAAATGTCCATAAGGACAAGCTATTCTGCTGGGCTTTACATGATCAGTGAGTGATGGATCCCCCTTGTTTAAAGGCTTCCAGCCAACTATTAGAAAACAAGATGAAGAGGCCAGAAATATACTACATTTTCTGATATACTGTAAGAGAGACAGGTGACTGTGCGAGAGAAAAAGAGAATGTCTCTGACCTCCTATACTCTAGTGTGAAAAATAAGAACACACTGCAAAACATATTTCCTTGTTAGTTAAGGGTGATTTAGCTTCATAAATTAAAATTATACAGAAAGCTAAAGCTTCCAATTAAACAGCCATTTCCTTTCCCCACATCTCAACTGCGGCTGACAAATGTTCTCCTTCTATAGAGACTGCACATGTTTTTAAAGACTTGATGCAGATATTTAGCATCCTCTTGAGTTGCAGGGAACATTAAATAAATTACCATATTCACTTAAATAACGTATGTACCTGCCTCCAAATAATTATCCTTCCAAAACTCTGATGCTGCTTTTAAATGAGGAATCTGATTCCCACACCAGAATGGAGGTGCAGTGATGCAAGAATGGCTGCCAGAGGTCATGTTTCCTTCCTGTTCTTATCGAGGAGGGGCCAAGTCTCAGCCAAAAACTAATGCCTGTCACAGCCACTGAATTAGCAGCAGCTTTTGGCTGAGCAACTAAAAAGGAGGACAAGCAAGACTGTCCCTCCTCCCTACAACCAGAATTCAACCATGGCTCTGGAAAAACTTTTTTCATTTTTCCTTCCCAAAACAAGTTTTTGTGTCTTCTTTGAGGGTATATGAGAAAATATGGTATAGAAGTTTTCTCTCACCCTCCCCCAGAAATGTTTTTAAAAGCTAACCACACATAGTTTTGAAAGAATCACATTTCAGTCAGTGAAAGCAACTTAGTAGAGAGTGTGGTATTTCAACAGTGCCATAGCATGGCAAATATGGTAACTACACTTAAGAAAGGACTGTTTCTTAGCAAAACAGCTTTACTCTTTGTAGAGGAACAAACCATGTACCATATAGGATGCACCTGCCAAACTGCTAAATGGCCTGTGAAATGGCATAAAACTATTAATTTAATTGCTATGACACTATCAAAAATATCTTAACAGTTGTAGAGGGGAAAACAGAAGAGTTAATGGAAACTGTTAACCATCTCACCTATATATTAGGAATGATACAGTTGGGGATGGTTCTGCATTGAACCGGGGGGTGGCCTGTAACTCCTGAGGTCTATTCCAACCCTACTTTTCTATAATTCTATGATGCATTACATTCAACATTTCTGGATAAAGAATGCATCTCCTTGATTAATTTATTTCATTAGGTACCATGTCTTCCAACAGTGCCCAATGTGTGGAAGGTATTCTGCAGACAATTCAGATATTCATGTATTTCTTTCCTTTTTCAAGAGCTGACAGGTTAAGAAATGATAGGTAATTATGCAGTAGCACAGATGAAGGTGCATTTAAATGTTGACAGCCCTGAAGACAACACTCCTCTATTAAGTTGCAGATGAGACAAGTATTGGCAGCAAAATGGAAGCTTTCCCTCTGCACCTTGGAAGGAATCACTTGTAGTTCATTTTATTGAGTTATCATTTTTCAAGTATCAGACTGAAGTACTGCACCAGGCACAAATATAGTCTCTCCCACAATGAGCTCTAAAAATCAGACAAAAACATGCCAGAAAAATCTCAAGTCTATTGACAAATTAAGGTTGTAGATCAGTCTCTCCCATATGGACTTGCATGTAAGGCTTTGTAGGAAAAAATGGGAATTAAGGAGGGTTTCACAGAAGAAAGAACAGGAGACTGGTACAGCAGGATGAGGAGTGATAGTGACAAACAAGCCACTTGGAGTGCTGACAGATGTGCAGGCCCCCACTCTAACTCATGGCACTTTCCATAAAGCAGCAGGGATGGGCTGGACTGCATTAACCCAGCTGTGATTACATGACAGAATGACCCTAGAGAACAGAAGGTCTCTAAGGTGCTCTGAAGTGGAGCATCTTCATCTGATCTCTCATTTGATGAGGGTTTATCTGATGTGCAATCAGTCACTTTTAAAGTGCTCTGCAGCCATGCAGGTGTGTCATGGCATGGCTGTAGAGAGCTTCAGAGGGCCGATCATGCAACAAATGTAACTTCTGTCTGCACTCATAATGACAGTAGAAAAAGGAAATGAAGGGATCAGAGAAGCTGCCCTAGTCACAGAAGAAGGGTGTTAATTAAGATGCAAAACAGCAGACATAACCAGGTTCAGTTTGTATAGGCTTTGAAAGCAGATGTGAAAACCTTTAAATTGGATTTGCTTGACAAAGGATGCTAGTAATTGTAATTTTTAGAGGATAGTGACAAGAGTTTGAGGAAGCATTAAGTGCTGGCGATCATTTCAACCCTTATATGGAGAGGAAAGTGAAAGAAGAAACAAAGAAGAGGAAGTAGCTATAGAATAGGAATAAGAGGATAAGCAAACATTTTTTCTGGAGCAAGAGCGAGAAAAGGTTTTTTTGGGTTTTTTTTAATAAGCAGAATTGTAGAGAAAAACCTGTCTGGAGTTGCCAATGACATGGGTATATGAAAATGAGGAGAAGAAGGATATGTTAGAGGCTTTGGTTTAACCATATGCAATCTGGAGGAGAGATTGAACCTCTAAAGGGAAAACAGGGGAGACTGAAAGAGATTCAGGCATAGATACAGGAGACAGACAGACTTTACAGTCTCTAAAATGGTGACAACATAAGCAGATGAAATCACAGAGGCAGATGACAGAGTGCAAAACAGAAAAGTACTAGAATCACAGCCCAGATGAACATTAACACAGACCTTTTACTGTTTTAACCTTTCTCTCTGAGTGCTATGTCCATATTGATAAGAAAAAGTCATAGGAAAATACAGTTGGAAGTGGCCTAAGGAGCTAATCTAGTCCATCATGACTTGGTTTTCCCTGATTAAAAGAAAAATGCAAATTCTCTAATAAAACTCCCAAAATCTGTGATTAAAATGGAAGGCCCTACACAGCCCTGCTGGTGCCCCTCACACCCCCAGGACTCTCTCCACCCCTCACCAAGCCCTACTCATGCCCCTCACTGCCCCCCAGCCCTGCTGGTGCCCCTCACTCCCTGCATAGCCCCCCAGCCCTACTCACAGCTCCCTGCCCTCCCCCTCTGCCCAGGCAGAGGACTCCCCCAGCTGCCAGGGCTACAGGGTCAGGGACCCAGGTCCATAGCCTCTTGCCCCTGGCAGAAGGTGGAAGCTGCTGCAGTGGAGCAGAGGCCTGTTCCCCGACCCCACTGCCTGCAGGCTTGCATGGTGGGGGGTGTCTCCCCACCATGGTGTGCACTCCCAGCGATCAGGGGGGATCCATGCCCCCCAGATCTGTGTGTAGGGTGGGGGCTGTGTGCTGACCACTGCGGACTTGGGCTCCCCACCCTGCTGCCTTCCCCTGGTGCCTCCACAGCCCAGAGGCAGAGCAGGGTCACACAGGAAAGCTGCTTGATGCTGTGAGCTCTGCACTGTCCTGGAAACACATCCCATGTGCACAGCAGCAGCAAGGGGCACAACTCCACACTGCTGACCCCATTGCTGCCATGTGGGCAGGGGATGCATTGCCAGGGCAGTGCGGGACTTGTAGTGGCAAGCATCTTTCCTGCATGAAACTGCTCTGCCCTGTTGCACTGGGTCACACCCACTGGGCTGCAAAGGCCCCAAGGGAGGGCAGCAGGATAGGAGCCTGAGCCCGCAGTGGGCAGTCTATGCCCCATGCACAGGTCTTAGGGGCGGGGGTCTCCCCTGCCCCTCAGAAGTGCATGCAGTGGCAAAGAGCTGACCCAATCTCCTCCAGGCCCCCTGGATGAGCTGCCTGTAGTCCCATCCTGCTCCCCACCTGGGC